AATTTCATTTTACAAAGTGTCGCTAGCGTCAAGTTATCTATGTCAATTGATTACCATTGTTCATGCTTTTCGTATAAACATGCCATGAGTAAACGAGTCGAGCAGATACTGTTTTTTCAAGGAAGGCATATGCTTCTTCAATTGATGTGTGAGAAACGATCTTGGCACATTTTATGAACTATTGTAAATGGGTTCATAACATTACAATCGAGGATAAACAAAAGCCCATCGGATCCATCATTCCGTCGGACGAAGTGTTGGAATAGTAGATTTGTGGGTAATTACAGAAGGCGGGGTTATTTTTTAAATTGGGGTCAGTAAAGTAAATTGTCTGCCCGAGTGACAAATACACACTTTAATCTCTAAATAATGAGTTTTGTAGGTCCACATATAAAGAGTATTCGATTAAAGGAATTGACTTCCATATTTTAATAAGAACTCCATATATATTTTAAAAAAATACTTATTTTGAATTTTTAAATATTGTCCTGTTAGGTTAAGTTTTGAAAAAAGGAGAGATTATTTTCCATTTTTCAAATTTGTTCCTTCAAAAATTCAGTACCACTCTTTCTCTTGCAGGTATATGCGATACAAATACAAATATTTTCAAGCCTGATATTGCCTTTTATATTCAAGGTGCAATTCACCAAGACTGATTTCAACTATCAATCATTATACTATGCTTTAGAATTTGTAAACTTGTAGGGTTTGGAACCTTAATAACATGTCCTATTATGTAATATTGACATGAGTAATGTAATAAAACATTAAAACATAGTGTTGAAGTTGAAACAGTATAAACTGGGGTTGGTTTATTAAGTAATACAGTTCAATAACATAGGAAAGGTGGGTACTAAGTTAAATATGATTAATGTATTTGGTTTCTCTAGTATGTTTGTAAGTAGTCTTAAATACCACGCCAAAAGGTTAAATATAAAATTATACTCCCCCCGTCCCATAAAATAAGTCCCATTTCCCTTTTTGGGCTGTCCCAAAAAATTGTTCCCATTTCCCTTTTTGGAAAGTTTTGTGTGGCTAACATTCATTTACCTTTTTCTTACTCAACCACAACCATACATTTCCACTTTATTCTCACTTTTTTAAACTTCGATCCAAATTGAAATGGGACTTATTTTATGGGATGGAGGGAGTAATAAAATAGTGTCTCTTACATACTGATATTGTACATCTAAACAATGACATTCCAAAAAGGATCTCATCTGCCACCTATTTTGTATTTCAACTTCTCCTTCACCTTACTATTTACTGTTGATTGTGTTGTATATGTCTCTTACTATATATGTTTCACTGTCAATGCTGCAAGAGAACTTACAAAATATTCAATATAAAAAAATTAAAAAAGAACTGTAATAAAACCTGGTCATAGAGATCAAGACTCACCAATTAGTTTGTTGTCGTTGATTAACATCATGTTCATCCCCTGAAGGCCCTGTATCAGTTTTTGACTTAAGTTGAAAACGACCCTTTATTTTTGTTCATAAATCGGCTTATACCCCAACCTAACAGGATAATCTTCACAGCCCGACCCAATATAATCTTCCAAATTTTATCTGTCCTAGCTATATTAATCTCTAAGTTCCGTCTCTAGGGGCTCTCTCGCACATTGGCTGCATCCTTACAGAGTACTCTTCTTTGTTCGGCGTTCCGGTGTTTCCAGTTTTCCGGCTTCCTTTTAGAAAATGGTGGAATTTGCTTGATTCATTTTTCCTTCTATATTTACATTATTGTGATTGATACGTATATTTCGGTGTATCCAAAATCTCATAATAATTCAAATTTTAATTTTTTTATCTATGAATCTGCTGAAATAATCATAGGGGCTCTCAAACGATCAGGATCTGCTGAATTCTTCTTTTGAAGATCAGAAAATAAAGCACAAGCTTAAGCGTCTCGTACCATCCCCAAACTCTTTCTTTATGGTATGTACTCTCTCTTACGTGAGTAATATTTTTTCAACTTCCTCTACCATTGTTTCAAGGTTTACTGTTGTTGTCATGAGATTTGATTTGTTTGTAAGTGATTTACGTGTTTCTTGTAGGATGTGAAGTGTCAAGGTTGCTTTAACATGTAAGTATTTTGTCTAATTTCCGTGTTATAATTCGTGTTTAAATGTTAGATTTGGTGTCTAGGAGGTCTGTTCAAAGAAATTAACGTTTAGTTTTTAATTACATCCATCCCATGGGAATTCGGTAAGATATAGAAAGAGTAAAAATTCCTATGGGACTTTGCCAACATTGAATTAGATAAGAAATAAGCAAGAGTAAAAACTGTGTGTTCAAGTTTGTGTAGAAAAAAAAATCAAGACCACAAATTAGTTACTTTAATGGAAAAGTTTCAAAATTTGTTGGGACAAAAAACTTAACCTTTGATATCTTAACAAATCGAAGCACATCTGTAACTATAACAACAAGACATTTTGCTTTTTTATCTAGTAATCATGTCGTGCATGATTTATTTTGAACCCAAAGGAGATTTTATTCAATTTTGAAGAATTGTGGAACTAATGCTCAACTTTTATATTGAATGATAGTGTTTTGAAATCATATAATAATGTACTCGGTGTAATAGTATTTGTGGTGAAATTGTGCAGAACAACTGTATTCAGCTATTCTCAGACTGTTGTTATGTGTGGAAACTGCCAGACAGTACTATGCCAGCCAACGAGTGGACGTGCCAGACTCACTGAGGGCTGCTCTTTTAGGAGAAAGGGCTACTAGTAACCAAGTCCATGATCAGATCTTGGTGCTTTCTTTGGCAAGGTTACTAGTCACCATACTATATCATTTTTGTTTGGACGTTTGATCTTGGATATTTAGTTTGCGTGTTAATTCCCAACTTTGCCAAAATGATATAGTATGGTGACTAGTAACCTTGCCAAAGAAAGCAGCAAGATCTGATCATGGACTTGGTTACTACTCGCCCTTCCCGATTGAAGTTTTAACTGAAAGTTGGTATGAGTAAACAAGACTTATTTCAAAAGATGCTCAAAAAATTTCATTAAAAAATTCCACCGTAAACTTCCCCAAATGGCGACGGCCGCACAGTAAGAATTTATTTGACGTTTTTATGGAATTTCGAGGATCAATCTGACTCTTACCTCGATAAAAAATTATATATTAACATGCATCGGTTTTGAGATTTCAAAAACTATCATTCGCGAGATAGATGTACATGTCTTATACTCTTATATGGCGTGAGATTTCTTTCACCTATCCATGCTAACTCAACTTATCTTACTCAAATAACACATAAAAAAGTCATAATAAAATTTAGATTTTCCAATTTCTCTAAAAGGTAGGTAGTTGTCTTTAGAAATTTTTTGCGATCTCTTTAATTACAATTTGAAACATATCTTAGTTCATATATAAACCTTTTCTTTCTTTTTTGACAAAGAAAAATCTATGGTTCATATATTTTTATTTTCTCTACATAACTTTAGACTACACAACTCCATTTTGTATTCCATGTTTAAAGTTAAACTAAGAATTAATTATGTGAGGAAGGCAGTATTATTTTCACTTTTTTCAATTTATAAAAACTCTCGCCCCGTGCATCGCACGGGTGAGAAACTAGTTATATGCAACCTTTGATATGATTGGGAAATTCAAACACTTCATTTTTCATTTATATACGAAGTATATACTTCGTGTATGGCATGTCTTTTTAATTCTGCATGTAAATTCAACATCAACGATTAAATTCAGCTCTTAAACTTGGTATTACTAACAAAGTAGAATGTGCATTGTCTCCAACAATGAACTTATAATGTACTCTTCGGTCCCACTAACATTCCTGAAGTAGAATGTCTAATGTCTACTACAATGTCTATAAATAAATTTGTCATTTCCCTTTAAAGAAATACTTTTGTGATTAATGTTATTTTTGTTTCCTTACACAAATTTTAATCATACAATTTTTTTCTATTATTCCACGTACAAGTCAAATTGGTCACGTTTTATGAGACGGGGGAGTTTAAAGTAATAGCATATAGAAAAATAGCAAAACAATTTTGTTAAGAGCCTGGGACCGGCCCGAGGTAAGAGCGGTTCTGGTTCGGGCCGGGCCACCCGCCCGGGTCACGGGTCAAATCGGTAAAACCATTTTTTTAACTTATTTATACTTTATAGTTTTATACAAGTATTAAAAACAAACTTCAAGTACATTTATTTGAAATAAAATAGGAACTACATTTAACAATTGAGAAAAAAATACAATATAAAATACATTTTGTAATACATAATAATATAAATTATAATCAATCGGAATTTCCCGGTCCTTTGGTTTTGTCACATGACTTAATATGCTTCTTGGTCATCCCGTATCCGCGTGAAACCCCCAAGCTACATTTTTCCCGCACCATTTGCAAGTTGCGTACCACATCCCGATCCTCAAGTCCTTCTGCGTATAAAATTTATACGCGATAACAACATATTAACTTTTCATCTTAAAAATGGTAGATATAATAATTCTGTAAATACGAATAGATGGAGATGAAGATGGAGAATAGGGATTGGAGAAGATGTGTAGAAAAATGTTAGAAAATAGGAGTATTTATAGAAATTTTTATACCCCCACCCCCCACCCCACCCCCACTCCCGGGACACCCTTGATTCAAGCACCCAACCGCTATATAGCCGTTTGGGGCCTTGAGGCTTAAGCCTTTGATTTTAATTTTTTTTTGTTTATTTTATTTTAGTTTGAATACATTACATTTTTATAAAATTAATTAATTATTTAATTAATTTAACGAATTAAGTAAAGCTATTTTTACTTAGAAACTAAGACAAGTAGTGTGATTTAGAATTTACAACTGTCACAAAATATGTGTATTTATACAAATTGCATATTGTAAACCTATTTTTAATTTAAAAATAGCTTTAGACAAATAAATTGTAAGTTGTAACCAATTAATTAATTTGAGAAGTGCTACATATAAAAAATTAAATGTATATTTATTCAAAATATGAACTACAAGTTTACAAGTTACAATTGGGTAGTCTCAGCCCAACCTATCGGCTCTTTTGGCCCAAAATAAAAAAATTGACTGTTGTGACCCAGAGTCCCGAACCCGGGCCCGATCCGAGTGGGTTTTTGACTGAACCGAGCCCGCACCCTGCTGCCCCCCGGTTTAGGTCTACACCTGGTCCCGGACCACCAGAATAGGCCGGGTGGCCCAAACATTAGCGGGCCGGGCCGAGTCACAAGCCTGGTGACCCGAATCGAATCCACTCCTAAATATGATTACTTAATTCAAAACAACAATGCTCAGATACTGAGCAGTCAAAACAACCCAACCATCAAAAACCCTGGCAGCGGCTTTTAAACTTCAAATTTAAATAGTTCTTTTTCAGTATTAAGACCCCTGCCAATGGTGACTAGTAACCTTGCCAAAGAGAGCAGCAAGAACTGATCATGGACTTTGGTTACTAGTCATCCTTTCTCCTAAAAGAGCAGCCCGCAGTGAGTCTCGCACGTCCACCCATTGGCTGGCATAGGACTGTCTGGCAGTTTCCACACATAACAACAGTCTGAGAATGGATGAACACAATTGTTCTGCACAAATTCACCACAAATACTATTACACCGAGTACATCATTATATGATTTCAAACCACTCTCATTCAAAATAAAAATTTGAGCATTAGTTCCACAATTCTTCAAAAATGAATAAAACCTCCTTTGGGTTCAAAATAAATCATGCACGACATGATTACTAGATAAAAAAGGAAAATGTCTTGTTATAGTTACAGATGTGCTTCGATTTGTTAAGATATCAAAGGTTAAGTTTTTTGTCCCAACAAATTTTGAAACTTTTCCATTAAACTAATTTGTGGTAGTGATTATTTTTTTTCTTCTACACAAACTTGAACACAGTTTTTACTCTTGCTTATTTCTTATCTAATTCAATGTTGGCAAAGTCCCATAGGAATTTTTACTCTTTCTATATCTTACCGAATTCCCATGGGATGGATGTAATTAAAAACTAAACGTTAATTTCTTTGAACAAACCTCCTGGACACCAAATCGAACATTTAAACACGAATTATAACATGGAAATTAGAAAAATACTTACATGTTAAAGCAACCTTGACACTTCACATCCTACAAGAAACAAGTAAATCACATACAAACAAATCAAACCTCATGACAACAATAAACCTTTAAACAATGGTAGAGGAAGCTGAAAAAATATTACTCACGTAAGAGAGAGTACATACCATAAAGAAAGAGTTTGGGGATGGTACGAGACGCTTGAGCTTGTGCTTCCTTTTCTGATCTTCAAAAGAAGGATTCAGCAGATCCAGATCGTTTGAGAGCCCCTATGATTATTTCACGAGATTCGTAGATAAAAAAAATTAAAATTTGAATTATTACGAGATTTTGGATACATCAAAATATATGTATCAATCACAATAATGTAAATATAGAAGAAAAATGCATAAAGCAAATTCCACCATTTTCTGAAAGGAGGCCGACCGGAAAACTGGAAACACCGGAACGCCGAACAAAGAAGAGTACTCTGTAAGGATGCAGCCAATGTGCGAGACAGCCCCTAGAGACGGAACTTAGAGATTAATATAGCTAGGGCAGATAAAATTTGGAAGATTATATTGGGCTGGGCTGTGAAGATTACCCTGTTAGGTTGGGGTATAAGCCCATTTATGAACAAAAATAAAGGGTCGTTTTCACTTTAACTCAAGACTGAAAACGGGCCTTCAGGGGACTTTCGTCCCCTGGATGATGGTAATCAATGACAACAAACTAATTGGTGAGTCTTGATCTCTATGACCAGGTTTTATTACAGTTCTTTTTTAATTTTTTTATATTGAATATTTTGTAAGTTCTCTCACAACATTGACAGTGAAACATATAGAGTAAGAGACATATACAGCACAATCAACATTCAATAGTCAGGTGAAGGAGAAGCTGAAATACAAAAGAGGTGGCAGATGAGATCCTTTTTGGAATGTCATTGTTTAGATGTACAATATCAGTATGTAAGAGACACTATTTTATTATAATTTTATATTTAACCTTTTGGCGTGGTAATTAAGACTACTAACAAGCATACTAGAGAACCAAATACATTTATCATATTTAAAACATAAGTCAAGTTATGTACACATAGGCTGATAGGCAACACATTACACAGTTAGTCAGTTACACATCGCACATCATAACTTAGATTACATGAGACATGAGTAGATGACATTGTGTGATGACACATTCATAAGCTTCCACATGAGTAGATTGCACATTCATAAGCTTCCACATGCTGACATGAGACATGACTAGATGACATTGTACATTCAGAATTCATAAAACAATCAACCAAATAAGTTAATAACCAATTCATCATCATTCAGATGTGTTAACACTTAACTCTCAGTCATAAGCTTCCACATGCTTCCACAGTTCCACACTTCCACATATGAATATATAATTACACAGTACTGCTAAATGGTGCATGAATATGTTTAATTCCACATATGAATATGTTGATATGAATCAGTCCCATGTAGAGCCCACTGAGCAAAAAAATGGTCATAGCAGCATTTGTATACAGAATTTGGACAAGGGCATTAGCAATGATATGCTCCATGATGTTTTTTCTGCATTTGGGAAAAAACAGAAAGCTATATTGAATATGGCAGTGAAGAAGCTGCACAGAAAGCTATTGAGATGAAGAATGGTGCAAGGTTGGTGCACAAGAACATGCAAGTAAAATCTTGCCCCACGAAGCCAGAAAAGAAAAAACACAGCCCCACTAATGTATTTGTGGGGAACTTATCTGAATCAACAGCTGAAGGTGATCTTAGGAATGCTTTTCATTGGTTTGGGGGAACGATCTCTAGCGTTATAATAGTGAGAGATGGAGATGGGATATCAAAGGGTTACGGATTTGTCCACTTTAGGGATGCAGATGATGAGGCTTGGGCAGTGGAAGTGCTTAATGGCCACAAGTTTGATGACAAAGTGTGGCAGGTGAGAAAAGCATACAACAAACAACAACATCAAAGTCTTAGTCCCAAAAGATATTGGGTTCGGCTAACATGAATCGATACATGATATCACAACCAAAAGGAAAAGAAGGAATAAAGATAAAAAGATAAGCTATTATGAAAAGATAATATAAAAAAAAGATCAATACATATAAAAATGATAAAATAAAAGGCTGCAAATAATGTTTATATATATAAGGATAAAAAAAACTAGGAAAAAAAAGATGAGGGAAAAAGATTATCAAGATCACTCCTTCAAGTGAATATTCGCCCTCCAGTTAGTTCTCTCCAAAGTCATGCCCTCATCCAACCCCAGAAGAAGCATATCACTTCGAACTCCCCTAACTCACGTCTGTTTGGGTCTTCCTCTCCCTCTCTTCCCTGCCTCTTCTCCACACATCTCAACTCGCCTAACAGGTGCATCACTCGGTCTTCTACGCACATGACCAAACCACCGTAGGCGCGACTTCCGCATCTTGTCTTCAATAGGTGCTACTCCCACCCTTTGTCTGATTGCCTCATTCCTCACGCGGTCCTTCCTAGTATGTCCACACATCCAACGCAACATGCGAATCTCTGCCACACTCATCTTTTGAATGTGACATTGTTTCACCGGCCAACACTCTACGCCATACAGTAATGCAGGCCTAATTGCTGTCCTATAAAATTTACCCTTCAGTCTAGTCGGCATACCTCGGTCGCATAGAAATCCTGACGCACTCTTCCACTTCATCCACCCTGTTCTGATTCTATGAGATACATCTCCATCTAACTCACCGTCCTTCTGAATTATGGAGCCCAAGTAACGGAACATATAGCTGACTGGTATCTCCTTACCATCCAGAGTAATTCCGCTATTACCACTACTTCTACCTCCACCAAACTTGCACTCCATGTACTCTGTCTTGCTCCGACTTAGTTTGAAACTCTTATTCTCCAATGTTTGTCGCCATACTTCCAACTTTGCTTTAAGACCTGATTGCGTCTCATCAATCAATACAATATCGTCGGCAAACATCATGCACCACGGTATATCGTCTTGAATTGACTTCGTAAGTTCATCCATGACTATGGAAAATAAGAAAGGACTCAAGGCCGATCCTTGGTGCACTCCGATAGTAATAGGGAACTCTTCAGTCCTTCCTACACTAGTACGAACACTTGTAGTACAATCCTCATACATATCAATGATGATGCTGATATACTTGCGTGATATGCCTTTCCTAGTTAAGGCCCACCAAAGAACTTCTCGAGGTACCCTATCATATGCCTTTTCTAAGTCAATGAACACCAAATATGCAGATCCTAAAAGCATACGAGAACAAATTTGTTGGGAAGGCTAACAAGAAGAAATCTGTGGGTGAGTCGTCTCAAAAAAGTGGTATTAAATCAAACAAAAAAGTGCATAAATTTGGTCGTTCTTCCAAAGCTAATTCATCCACATCAAAGACAAATCTGGGAATGCAGTTCAAAGTGAACTAAGAGCTATTGGTATAAGCGTCATCATGTACATTGACAATAAAGGGGTTGGGCACTTAACCTCTTAAGGGCCATGATTTCGTAGCAGGAACTAGGAATCACCATTATTTAGATATGTCCATAAGGATAATGACTGCAGTGGCATCTTCTCATTCTACTGTTCAAGTATGTATGCTCTGCGGATGGGTGTCCTCTGAGCACACCTACTATATGGGATCTATTATTTTACTTGGATTTGTGTATTTTTTAGTCTTGACTATGGTTTGATTAAATTAATAGTTTCTCTTGTACGAACAATATGTTATCCCTTCAACATGCACAAATGATTTTCAAAAAAAAAATTACACAGGTAACACAGGATTGAATCATTCAATTAACATTAAACAATGCTTCCATTCCTTCCAAGTTCCAACATGCACAAGTATATTTAATTTTATACCTCAGTGATGCTCAATGGTCCAACAAAAATATTAGGTAACAGAACTGAAGAAGGGCAGAGTTCAGGCCTTGGGAGATTCGGACTTTGGGCTTCCACAATACCACCTCAGTTTCTCTGTTTCTCAGAAGTCAGAACACAGATGGACTGCAACAGCCAAAGATAAACAAACATATCAAGTATCAAAGACAGACATACGTAATAACTAATAACTAATAATACGAATTATGAACCGAGCAGTCACATACAAAGAGAGAAGAAATCAAGAAGAGAAGAGAATTACTCAGACGGCAATGGCGGCTAACCGGCACCGATGGACGACGGATTTTAGAGAGAAGTAGAGAAGAATTTAGAAGGTGGCGTTTAGGGTTCGAAGGAAAGAGGCGCTGAGAAATGAGAATGTTGAACGATGAGGGATTTAGGGATAAAGTGTTAAAGGATATAGGGTTGGGCCGGTTGGGGTTAATGGGTATAGCCGTATAGGATTTGAGGCCCATATATATCGGGGGATCGGGCGGGTCAGGTGGGTATTAGTAAAAAAACCTACCCACAGCCCACAGTTTGCCCAGAATCATTGGGCCGGTTCGGGTAGTGTCGTTCGGGTCGGGTAATCCGACCCAATACCCAAAAATCGGATATACCCGATCGGGTAAGTCGGGTTGGGTCGGTTCTGCTCCCCCTACTGGCCTACTTACAGTTAATTCTTTAACCTTTACACAAACCTCAACCACACAATTTATACTTTATTAATTCATGTGTCGGTCAAACTTGATAGGGTCGGTCCTGGGGCATGAGCAACAGGGCATGCGCCCAGGGCCCAATGCTCCACTGGGGCCCATAAATTTTCCAGTTATATATATATATTTATTTTAATTATATATCTATAAAAACTTTAAAAAAATAACTTATAATTTTCTTATACTTTCAATTCATTACACAAAAACATCTACAAACTACAAGTAAAAAATTTTGAAATTAAACATCCACACTAGAATTCCTTGGAAACAAACTTCACCATTTCTTTTGATTCATTAAGAGTTAGCACATAAATGTTAATCTTTTTATACACTTCTCTCATGTAAACTCATAATTCATTGATACTCCGTAGAATTTTGCTAATTTTCTTTAATTCTCTCATGAAATGAAAGAATTAAAAAATGTGATTTGAAATATGAAATTGTTTTCTTCATATACTCCGTAGGATATAACTTTCACGTGTTTCCCTAATTCAAAATTCTTTATGGCAAATACAAATTGTACTACTTTTCCATTAGGCCGATTTAGTTACATAGTATTCTCGGATGTCATTAACCAAATATTTAAATATAATCTTTCTAACCGTCTCATTCATTAATTTCTTTGATGTGTTATACTCATATTTATATAATAAAATTGCTCAATTTTACTTATACTCCCTCCGGTCCTTAATTAACTTTACACTTTTCTTTTTGGGCCGTCCCATATTAAACTTTACACTTCCTTATTTGCCTTATTTGACAAACAAATCTACACCAAACAGTGCAAAACAGTGTCAAACAGAGTCAAACAGTGCCAAACAGTGTCAAAAAGTGTATTCTACAGTAAAGTCAAATTTATTTCCCTAATATGTGTGAAGTCAAAGTGTAAACTTCATTAAGGACCGGAGGGCGGAGGGAGTATTTATTTATTTTAAATAAAAAATATAAACATTCATACATTATCTCTCAGGCCTACTCTATCTATAATGTCCCAGGCCCATAAAATGTCAGGACCGGGTCTGAACTTGACAATGTTTTAAAGGACGAATGAAGTATAACACTGAATACGTAACTTTTGAAAATAATTAATCATTAATAATTACTACTAAAAAATACTCTGTATATATTTGTAATTAATGATGATTAATAATAATTAAAAAAATTATTAGAATTATCAAAAAATTATAACACCTAAATGAGTTGGCAATGATTTACCCAATATTTACTATGAGTTTAATAAATTGGACCCCAAAGCCAAGTAATTTACATCAATGACCATTTGTGCACAAAAGCTTAGGCCATTTTGGTTGATGAGTAATGACCCAATGAACAAATTAGACCCAAAACCCAAAACTGGACCCATGACTTAGGTCATTTGTTCAACAACCCAACTAATTTACGCACTATTAACCTAGCTGACCCCAACCAGCCAATATATAATCATAGACTGTCAATGCGCCGCTTGATGATTCCGTACACACTACAGAAGACTCTCTCCCTCTCCCTCTGACGTTTCACAATCCGCCACCATTAGGATCTTCTCCCTTGTCTCACCGTTCAATCGACCTCTTCAGGCGGCACGTAAAGTTTACGGTTACAAGAGTTTGGAATCCATCGTTCGTCCGACCTTTTCAATCAAACACTTACGTGTTTGACGCGCTTTCGGTATTTGCTACAGATCTCTTAATTTTTTAAGAAAAAGTCATTCTTAATTTAATTTTACAAAGTGTCGCTAGCGTCAAGTTATCTATGTCAATTGATTACCATTGTTCATGCTTTTCGTATAAACATGCCATGAGTAAACGAGTCGAGCAGATACTGTTTTTTCAAGGAAGGCATATGCTTCTTCAATTGATGTGTGAGAAACGATCTTGGCACATTTTATGAACTATTGTAAATGGGTTCATAACATTACAATCGAGGATAAACAAAAGCCCATCGGATCCATCGTTCCGTCGGACAAATTGTTCCAATATTAGATTTGTGGGTAATTACAGATGGCGAGGTTATTATTTAAATTGGAGTCAGTAAAGTAAATTGTCTGCCCGAGTGACAAATACGCACTTTAATCTCTAAATAATGAGTTTTGTAGGTCCACATATAAAGAGTATTCGATTAAAGAAACTGACTTCCATATTTTAATAAGAACTCCATATATATTTTAAAAAATACTTATTTTGAATTTTTAAATATTGTCCTGTTAGGTTAAGTTTTGAAAAAAGGAGAGATTGTTTTCCATTTTTCAAATTTGTTCCTTCAAAAATTCAGTACCACTCTTTCTCTTGCAGGTATATGTGATACAAATACAAATATTTTGTAGCCTGATATTGCCTTTTATATTCCGGGTGCAATTCACCAAGACTAATTTCATCTATCAATCATTAAACTATGCTTTAGAATTTGTAAACTTGTAGGGTTTGGAACCTTAATAACATGTCCTGTTACGTAATATTGACATGAGCAATGTAATAAAACATTAAAACATAGTGTTGAAGTTGAAACGCTATAAACTGGGGTTGGTTTATTAAGTAATATAGTTCGATAACACAGGAAAGGTGGGTACTAAGTTAAATATGATTAATGTATTTGGTTTCTCTAGTATGTTTGTAAGTAGTCTTAATTACCACGCCCAAAGGTTAAATATAAAATTATAATAAAATAGTGTCTCTTACATACTGATATTGTACATCTAAACAATGACATTCCAAAAAGCATCTCATCTACCACCTATTTTGTATTTCAATTTCTCCTTCACCTGACTATTGACTGTTGATTGTGTTGTATATGTCTCTTACTCTCTATATGTTTCACTGTCAACGCTGCAAGAGAACTTACAAAATATTCAATATAAAAAAATTAAAAAAGAACTGTAATAAAACCTGGTCATAGAGATCAAGACTCAACAAATAGTTTGTTGTCGTTGATTACCATCATGTTCGTCCCCTGAAGGTCCGTTATCAGTTTTTGACTTAAGTTGAAAACGACCCTTTATTTTTGTTCATAAATGGGCTTATACCCCAACCTAACAGGGTAATCTTCACAGCCCGACCCAATATAATCTTCCAAATTTTATCTGTCCTAGCTATATTAATCTCTAAGTTCCGTCTCTAGGGGCTCTCTCGCACATTGGTTGCATTCATACAGAGTACTCTTCTTTGTTCGGCGTTCCGGTGTTTCCAGTTTTCCGGCTTCCTTTTAGAAAATGGTGGAATTTGCTTTATTCATTTTTCCTTCTATATTTACATTATTGTGATTGATACGTATATTTCGGTGTATCCAAAATCTCGTCATAATTCAAATTTTAATTTTTTTATCTACAGATCTGGTGAAATAATCACAGGGGCTCTCAAACGATCTGGATTTGCTGAATTCTTCTTTTGAAGATGAGAAAATAAAGCACAAGCTCAAGCGTCTCGTACCATCCACAAACTCTTTCTTTATGGTATGTACTCTCTGTTACGTGAGTAATATTTTTTCAACTTCCTCTACCATTGTTTCAAGGTTTATTGTTGTTGTCATGAGATTTGATTTGTTTGTAAGTGATTTACGTGTGTCTTATAGGATGTGAAGTGTCAAGGTTGCTTTAACATGTAAGTATTTTGTCTAATTTCCATGTTATAATTCGTGTTTAAATGTTCGATTTGGTGTCCAGGAGGTCTGTTCAAAGAAATTAACGTTAAGTTTTTAATTACATCCATCCCATGGGAATTCGGTAAGATATAGAAAGAGTAAAAATTCCTATGGGACTTTGCCAACATTGAATTAGATAAGAAATAAGCAAGAGTAAAAACTGTGTGTTCAAGTTTGTGTAGAAGAAAAAAAATTATCAAGACCACAAATTAGTTACTTTAATGGAAAAGTTTCAAAATTTGTTGGGACAAAAAACTTAACCTTTGATATCTTAACAAATCGAAGCACATCTGTAACTATAACAACAAGACATTTTGCTTTTTATCTAGTAATCATGTCGTGCATGATTTATTTTGAACCCAAAGGAGGTTTTATTCATTTTTGAAGAATTGTGGAACTAATGCTCAAATTT